CTTTGCCATCACCAAGGGCTGCTTAAGAAAAATCTCAGCTCCATACCCAATCCTGGTTAAAACAGGAAAGAAAAATAAAATCTGAATGGAACCTCCAAAAAAAATGCTTCATAAAGGATATAGAAAGTGTTGTAAGGATTTTCTAAACAAATAAATGCTGTAGATTGCTCTTTGTTATAGGTCGTTGTTGGGGTAAAATACACCACTGAACAAAAAATATCTTGAGGAGGCTGCTGAGAAATGATTTAAAAGTGCAAGGAAAATCAACACATGGAACAGAAAAAGCAACAATTTAAACCGGTTGCATAGGAAAAGTAACAAAYGTCTGCAAAATAACAAGTGGTGCACAGGAGGCCTTCAAAATCAGCTTTTCTTCCAGTTTTATAATAGAAAAAGAATGAAACATTTAAAGATGCTGAAAGACAGCAGGTTTGAAATTGAAAAAGTTTCTTTTTTCTTTTTTTCAATATACAGTGAAATTAGGCTTTGAAACTCAATGTTATATATGAGGAAATTGTTGAGATCAGTAATTCAACAGGGAAAAAAGAGATATTTGAAGTGTGTACGAATAAAAAGAATAAACAGAGCTACACRAGCAAATTGTTAAGAAGAGTGAAATAAAATTGGTGAGGATATTATCCTTCCTACCTGGGACTTTCAGGCAATCTCTGGCTTTTACTGAATCAAATAAAATCTTCAATAGGAGGTAAACCTTAGCTGGGTCACYTGCTGCTTTAACCAAGATATGTATTTGGACTTCAAGGAAAACAAACACCTACTTCCAGCTGCCCCCAAATTGGTGCCACTGTTGGCCATTCACCACATATTTGTTGTAAGAGAATCTGTCAGCAAAACTTCCTCCTCTTTCAGCTGACAAATCTGTTATTTTTTAGATAATTTGCTTTTTCCAGGCAGTTCCCACCCAAGTTTTCTTGGATTTCTGTGAGTGGGGCAAACCTTTATTATGCTCACACATCTGGTGATTCTGCCATTTCCTTCAGCCCCCCTGACACAGCTTCTATTTTGGGAACATTTTACTGGCTTTTCTTCAAACAGCCTTCAGTGGTGGGTTTTTTTTATTCCTTTATTGGAATAAAAATTATTTCACATTTTAATTAATTTAAAGTTCAGAAATTTCACAAATGAGCAATGATACATCCTTCCTGCTTCCTCTCTTGTCCAAGCYACTGGTCAAACAAATAAATAGATTTCAGACTTCAGCTCTGCAATGCTTAGAGGTACAAGGATATATTTACACATGTAGCTGGTTACTGTACTGTAGAGTTTATTAGCACTTCATTAAAAAGCTTGTGATAGCATAATTTGTTAAAACTACTCACAGAGCTAATTTCAATGAAAATTAACCCCCCTCAGAATAAAAAGGGATACCTGGTTTAAGTTTAGAACACTCCAAACAGAGAAGAAACYATTGTTTGTGCTCATCAGAGAAAAGTATGGGATGAAAATTTGATTTGGTGCAACTGCATGCTCCCAAGCATGTTAAATTTGCTCACTTGGCTCTTGGGATGTCTGGCTTGGAGCAACCTGCATCTGTGCAGGAAAACAATGGGTTTTTAGTCTCCAAAACAAGGCAGCTGCATGAAAACCATCTGTGGGGAATGGTTTCTGGAGTGCCCTAACTCCAAACTGCAGCCAGGAATGGGTTTAACAAAGAGCATTGATTCGTTGTAAAACACGCAAAACTTCTGTCACATCCTGCGCCCTTTTCACAATTATTTCCTCCTGGTGGTTRGAAAATTTGCTGTGATTTTATTCCTGGGTGGGGTAACCCTGCATGGACAAATGGACAGGAGAATGAGGGGCTTGGAAGGGACTGGGGGTCCTGGTCAATGACCAGSTGGACATGAGCCAGCAGTRCCCTGTGATGCCTAAAAACCCAGTTTACCAAAAACAGAGGCTAAACAAAATTCAGAGAATCCAAAATTCACAGAATCCAAAGCAGAGAAGTCAGYAAAACCCTGGGAAAGGCTTGCTTACATTATTAAATGTGTTTGATTAATAACCCTTATTCTTGGAGTGCGAGGCTTTCAGTTATGTCTGGCAGTTAATGATCCTCAGAAWATAAACCCACATTGAAATCAAACCCTTAAATATGAACCCGTTATTGCTTCAAAGTTGAATTTTCTGGGTTGGATCTCTGTCATTTCAGCTAGTTGAGTGGCAGCCAGTGACATATTATGACTAATTACTCAATTTCTTACTTTTATCCAGTAGGCAGTCTCAACCTGATAATCATGATAATGCATACTGCATATAACTCTGAGTTTCTGGGTTTTGGAGGTGGTT